AACACAAAGCAAGAATGAATAATAGAAACGTATCCCCAGAGATCAAGAAAATCTATGCGGCAAGGAATCTAAAATCAAGCGTCTGTCGCATTTTGCAGCGCTTTCATTGTGAAAGTTATATTCCAAGAATAGACCATGTTCTCAATGAAGACGATTGACACTGTGCGGTAGATTTTTGCGAGTGATACATGTGCAGAAGATGCACACTTTTACACAGAGATTGTTTGGAGTGATGTGACTACATTTGGATTAAATACCACATATAAACGCTACAATCGCAGCATCTCTAGATCTGTGAATCCTTACATTACATGTTAATTAACCAGTCGTGCAATTTAAGATGAAAGTCAATAATTAAACCATTTTTTTTAACTTACCTTTTCACATCTAGATTGCCGATGAGATCTAAATACCTCAATGCACGCATTGATCCTAAATTCGTTCAGGAAAGAAGTGGGTCGTAATGACAACACCCTATTGCATTTGATCTCCATGGCCATCGCAGACGGATTTGATCTGTATCACTGTGAGTACTTAGATGAGGTGTGCATAGATCTACCTGTCGTTCCACCTGTACACTCCCAGGAAACTCAATGTTTCCATGACAGCTAGTAGCAATATAACAGCGTGATATTTTTAAAAAAATTTCCTCAGAGTAGAAATTGCTATGTTAATACTTTCGATACATCAAAAAAAGAGTGATGAGAAGTGGAATTTTGAGTATGAGGTGTACCATAAAGTTAAGTCGGTTTCTATTTAAGACCAGCTTAGGATGTGTTTTCAAATACCTGAGGCCTCTCCTGTACACATACACGCAAAACACATACACACACACGCATACGCACACACATATGCATCGGTATGTGTGTGTACAAATATATGCAAGTGTATGCGTGTAATCATCTGTGCGCAAATGCATGCGACTTAATATGTCTACGCAATTACCTTATATCTGGCTAACATGAATGAAACGTAATTTACTCTCGAACCCAAAATAATCTTTCTCTAATTTCATTTTCTAAGGGACTACTTACCGGAAGAAACTATTACAATTCGTGACAGACATGAAAGTGATAGAAGGGAAGAAGTGAAGACATTGTCAAAAATATTCAACGAATCCAATCAATCTGTTGTAATTATTTAATGGACCTTTAAAAATTTTCGTACCAGATAGACAAAAATACAACAAACGCATGTATTAATCACAATCACTTTACATCGATCTATCTGCATTCATATATATATATATATATATATATATATATATATATATATATATATATATATATATATATACCTACGTACACATATTCATGTGCATATTCGCTTAATTCCTACACATATCTAAACATATCCATGCATTTTAATAATTGATATGCATCCATCCTATAATTCAATGTTGAATATCAATATCGAAAATTGGTAATTTTAGATCGAAATTCCATTAATTACTTCACATGCTACTCTGAAATAATTCTCCTTTCTCCATTTTATATGCTTGCAAGTGTGTATGGAGGGCGTGCTTTGTGTGCGGTTATGTGTACATGTGTGGATGTTTTAACTTATTCATATCTGCGTACTCATATATATATATATATATATATATATATATATATATATATATATATGTGTGTGTGTGTGTGTGTGTGTGTGTATTAGCAAACCACACGCATTCCCTCCGTATTCCACCGGTGAGAAGTAGATTTTACTCGAGCAAATTTTCCCGTGAACCACTTCGTTGTGGAACCGACTCCCAACACGATGTTTTCCCGATCACTACAATGTTGCCCTGTTCAAGTCTAGGTTTAACCGCTATTTTCTACTCAATTCCGAGTGGCCCCGGGCCTTGTAAAGGGTGAACCACGCTGTAAAAAGATATTATCTGCATAGCTCATATATGAGGCCCTAATACACACACACACAGACACACACACAGACACACACACACACACATATATATATATATATATATATATATATATATATATATATATAGAGAGAGAGAGAGAGATTACGAGGTTATTAAGGCCTTGAAATCGCATCTTGCGAGAATCGTTCAGTCACGATTTTACAATATTTGTTTATTTACCATAATCTTATATATATATATATATATATATATATATATATATATATATATATATATATATATATATATATATATATGCCTAAAACTGTCCAAAAACGCACCAAACTATCTCGTAGAATGATTCTGTCATTTGCCAAAATTTAGTGCAATTCGCGCACATCTTGTTCAACATATTACAATTGACTAAAATAATATTAACAAAATACAATTTTTAATAGATATTACCAAAATATTGCATAGGACTTAAAATTCTGTAAGTTCGTGTAATACAAAACAGCCAACATTAAATAGGGTACCTTTCTTCATAGGAGATTGTATATTGAATTATGTCTAAAAACAATCATGTAAAAATTCAGTTTGAACGTTGTAAAAGACATCGACTTTAAGTAACTTGAAATTGAGTCCACCAAACAAAGAAACACCAGAATTAGCTAGACACAGTTGCATAAACAGACGAAAGACATAATTATTGATAATGGCTGTAGGAACAACCGAAAGTACTCAGATTTAAAAAAAAATGAAAAAAGATAAATGAACTTTGTAAACGTTACAAATCGAATAAAACAACTTGGTCGGATGTTTTAAAAACAGACTGAGTTTGTCGGTATCGTTCACAAAATTGTTTAAAATAATTCTTGCTGCCTAAATACGCACATACACGCGCGCACAAGCACACACACACACACACACACACACACACACACACACACACACACATATATATATATATATATATATATATAGATAGATAGATAGATAGATAGATAGATAGATAGATCGTTTTTCACTGGTAAAAAATATATCTAACTCATCAGTCATTAAGAATATTCAGATCTTCTCAAATTAAGTTTATACAAAATATTATAATATTGTTCACTCGAAGTATGTCCATTGACTTTTGGTGACCTTACATCATATTTCAGCTAAATTGTGTAATTTCAGTTTTTTATTCTCTGAATTGTTCAAGAAATTCTTTGATATCTTCTTCTAAATTTTGTATATAGGTGACACTTTCAGAAAATATGCTACATAATAAATAATTTCCTGTGATAAAGTCTATGCTACTAAACCAGCAAAAATCGACGAAATGAGGTCAACCATTGAGTTAGAATGCACAATGATGTCTTCTTGTTTTGTGTTATCAGTTGCGTTTGTATCATAATGTACATCAGTTTTAAAACAAGGTATGATAGAAAAATTAAATCATCTGTAGATTCGATTACGTTTTTAAAAAATGAATATATTTTAAAAGACACTGACATTATAATCATTCAAAATCATTTAGCCTTCAGTATAATTTTTTGGACTTCATGTGATAATTTTTTTTTTCGTTACGTGCAACGCAGTTGTAGCAAGATGTCGGATCTTGTCATGCAGTAAAGTGATCTGTCGATTTCCTGACCCAGAATGATTTTCTTATTTTTCGGTTTTCATAATAAATACGTTGTTTATCATCTGCGACTATTGTATCTAAATGGTCTTTTCCTGTGCCGAGGAAGACTTACTTACGTACTTATGCACTGATTGTTGTTCTTTTTAGTAGAATCTCGCGGATCCCACATTTCACTCTTTATTTTCAATTTTCCCTAATATTTTTAAATAATTAAATATACTTGACCGATTACAGAAAAAATAAAGGCCTGAGTAAACCTGATAGGTAATTCTAACATTTTTTTTCCAATTGCACAACTGAAAGCTTAATTTTTTTTTCTGCAACAACTTAATACGTGAAGATGCTGAAACCTTTTCGGCGGGAGGATCTGATTCATAGAATGTAATAAAATGACCACACATCAAAATATTTTAATTGATCTTCTTTTAAACAGAACTTCGTATTCTGCTTTGATAGGCTTTTCTGTTTTATTACACTGATAATATTCCAGTGCTGGTTTGTTTCAGCGACTAATCAACAACTTATATCCATATGCGATTACTGATGGAATTTTTGTTGCAGTATTATATGCTATATGTAATTACTACTTAAATAACCGAGCGATTATTTACTCTTCCTTTTTCCAAGTAAAGCAAAGTGTTACCTTGAGTCTAGACTAATTTATAAATTGTCTTATAGTCGTTTTGTTGTCGCCCTTCTTATAAGAGTGACTACATATTAAATAGTGCATCAAATTAAAAAGAAATAGTACATATAAAATGTACTATTTTCAAATGTATAGTTTTACGTTTAAAATACATTATTGCCGAGAATGGAGAATCGACTATGAACATTGATCAGAAGTCAAAGGATATTGGAATAAATGAATTCAAATATGGTTTCTGTAGAGGCGCAGGAACATGAAGTTCAAAAATAGTTTTTTCATGCAAAAGGACTGAAAACTCAAAAATGGTTTTGTTTTTCCCTTTTAGACATGCAGTAGAAAAATAATAACTAAAAAAGAAACTATAAAAAAGAAAACTACAGCAATAATATATATATATATATATATATATATATATATATATATATATATATATATATATGAACATTGAAGTCAACATCCGAAGCGTCTGAGTATTGACTTCAATGTTCACTTTTATATTTACATACACTCTCTCTTTGATATTGAGCAATTTATCCCATAAACCATAAATAAAGTATACCTTAAAAATATATTTCTTATATTGTGCAGATAATGAGACGTGTTGTGATAGGCGTCTTCGGGTAGGAATCTACATCCTACTAACACGCATCAATAACATGTGTAAATATAATATATTACGCAAGCCATACTTTAAAATAACATTTTTAAAATTTTAATTCTTAAATACTGAATGATACAAATTCAGCCCGAAATAATATTATATGAAAAACATGCTTCGATTAATGATCGATAAAACAATTTTCTTCATCAAAATATAAGACATAAAAATGGATTACCTAAATATTTTCAAGAGAATTTATGTGCATACAACTAAATCATATTGAGATCACCAGTTCACGTTCGATCAAAGAAGTTAAGCAGTGTCGTGCCCAGTCAGTATTTAGATGGGAGACCACTTGGAAACATAGCGTACTGTAAGCAATCCCCTACAATCCGAAATATGTTTAGACTTTGATTAACCCACAAAGGGTTGATAAACCGTAAAAAACAAAATCAATTAATCAATCAACCAATCAAAAAAAATTTAAATAAAAATTGAAAGAATTTGATTTTTAATCATCAATTTTTCCCCACTTTAAGAAATGTTTATTCGTAGATGCAAAAACATGACAGAGTAGCGGCAAAGACAGTGGGCACCGATAAGTAATGTCAAAACTTTGACTACCGATTCATTCAGTCGGTACTAAAATACAAAGTGATTGGAGCTTAATTTTCCCCAACCACATGATTTGCCTTTCCATGCAATCTTTAGAGTGTGCTGGAGTTTCGACATATTTGTTTAAAAACTTCTATTTCTGATATCACAGTTACAAAGAAAGACTTAAAAAATAAATGTTAAAAATAAGAGAAAGCGGGAAAACCGAGAAGCTATAATCGAAACCAATAAACAGCACAATTCAATTATTTTTCTGATCTGAAAATATTTGTTTTTGGTTTAGGAATCGAGGTAAAGAAAACGCATTATCAGGACTAATTCTCGTGTTTGAGATAAGCAAACGACAAGCATGTATAAATATGATATAGTCATTAGAGCTTTTGCTAAAGCAGCTTTCAGGGCAAAAATAAAATCGTTAGTCATATTTTATTGGAGATGGAAGACACCAAGTTTAATCCTTGCTGCTACAGAGTAATATATTTAATCTCATCAAAAGCTATGGATAGTATAAAATTTCCGCTTACTGTATACATATTCGTCTTATTAACAAGTAAAAAAAAATAAGTTACGTGAAGATGTAACATTAAATAAATTTATTATGTATAATTAATTTGATTTGATTTTTTGTTTAACGACATATAAACTGCTTATGGGTTATTTAATACGGAAATTTAATTTTCTATGGAGCTTTGAAGTTGTTGGGGCGCACCCACCTTCTGACTGAGAATGGACTGATCCCTCTACGATATAGGTCAGTGCTAGAGAGATCAGACGAGATCTGTTCATCACGTTCTGTGGAGATCACGAGACCATTGCACTTCCGTCTCTGGACCGGAAGATACCGTTGGACTGGAGACTCTTGCTAATTGTTATTACTAACCTGCGTTCGTTATTACTAATCACTCTGTTGTTAAATACCTCTTCAAATATACCAGTATTTTTCTCTACATCTGTGTTTGTCATTATTTGAATACACACACGCGGGAACAATCCCAACATCTCAACAGAAGTAATAAAAATACGATATATGTTATTCTTCTTTCACAATTGAATACATGGCAGATGATACTCAGCTTGTGTGCATATAAAAACAAATGTGTGGACAATTATGTTTCCTTTTTATTGAAGTTATATTTTGGAATACAGCTTAATTTAAGAAATTGTCTGCTATTATATGCATTAATGGTATGAAAAAGTTGGTTGTTTGGTGGATTGTGTTTAGCGGCATATCAAAACCTCTATGGGTTATTTAATACCGAAATCTAAATATTTTGTACACAACTTTATGGCTTCAACTAGAGACAAAATTTATTGCTGGTTATTTTACTTCAAAGGTGTTTTGTTTTTTTATTTTTATTTTGTTTTGGTAATTTTATTATAAATATGTATTGCTGGTATATTTTACTATTAAAATGTATTTTTATACTTTCATAGTGTATTGTTTTTTGTTTGGGGGTTCATTATTTGCCCATAGATGTGTCCCTAACAGGTGCTACCACCCCAGACCAAGCTGCAGCTGAGAAAAACAGCAATTAAGAGGTGGTTCCACTCTCCTCAAAACCTCCAATAGCACAATGACTCATTCAAAGCCTCTAAAAGCAAACTAGTGATATTCCAGCATCGCCGATGGAACCCAGAAAGTCTAACAATCACGATGAGCGAATGCTCCCTAAGGGAAGCCCTGTGCCTTCATTGCAGACCGAAAGTAGAACTCGTACATACGATCCATCGCTAAAGATGCTGTAAAATGGTCGTTTAATTGTAACACTCCAGCAAGTACCTGGCTCCTCCTGCTATCCTCTCACTTTACAAGAGCCAGGTTAGACCTGAAGTACTGCTACCATATATGGTCAGGAGCTTTTGAGACACTACATAGTCCAAAAGCGTCTCCACGTCCATGAGGTTTACAACGACTTTCTAATAGACAAACAGTTGCAAGCCTCTCGGTGCTCTATCACTATTTCCATGGAATAGTGTTCAAGCGAACTACATTCATTAGTTCAACAAGTTCTAACGTTTGCGGCTGGGATCCGCCATGCCACGCACATGGTAGCGAACCACTCTCATTCCCTTCACATTCTATTGGTGAGATGTAACTTCCACTGGAGCAGCATCTCATGATCGGCTTTTTTTATGGAAACGACTACTAAGAGGATGCTTCTCTGATCACAACAATTGTAACCTGTTCAAGTCTAGGGTTAACCATTATCTTCCGCACATATCCGCATAAATTGTGGCTCTTAATCTGTAACCCTCTACCACGAGTGGCTCTCGTATCTTGTACAGTGTGAACATTATTGTAAAAAAAAATCATATTGAGAAGAAAAATCTATCTATCTATCTATCTATCTATCTATCTATCTATTGTAGGAGGCACGGTGGAGTAATGGATAGCGGCTTGGATTGAGAAATCGGTAGAGCCGAGTTCGAATTCCAATCGAATCCATTACATTCACTTACGTGCTAATACCATTGGGAAAGGTGTGAATCCTCTAGCTATGGGTAAATAGCAGGACAGACTGGGTTCTATAGCCTTGGATGGCAACTGGTATAGGAGAAGGAAAACTCTGAATTCAAAAAATGCGGAGGTTCGTTTGGGGTCCTTGTGGCACGTAGTGCACCAGGTCTCTGTAATCGGCCCTTCAAAAAGTGTGGATCGTCCTGCACGAAACCTTCACCACTATAATTAAATCTTATGTGCTATACATGCGGGTTAGAGACCGCTTGTGAATTCCAAATTCCGATGAAACTCCAATATTGGAGCCGGCTCAACCCACCTCGGGTGAATGCCGTTACAGGTACAGGTAAGGTACACATCTCTCTCTTATATATATATATATATATATATATATATATATATATATATATATATATATGTTGATATATATGTGCGTGTGTGAGAGAAAGATAGAGGGAGAGAGGATCTGCTAGTGGTGTAACGGATAGCGGGTTGGAAAGAGAAATCGCTGAGCCAAGTTTGAATGCAGGACGGGTTCGTTACATTGATTAATATACTTTGCATCATGATAATGCGATGAATCGAGAAATACAGGGAATTACTTATATACAACAAAACATATCACTACTACTACTACTACTACTACTAAAAGAGCAGTAACTAAATATAAGATGTAGAAAACAGCTCTACAGCAAACGCTTCACATTTAAGATAAAGTGTTTATTTCATTTCAAATAAACACTTCAGTTGAAATAGACTATTTATCAACTAATCCTACCAGAACGGTACGATGAATATTGAATAAATTCCTATCTTTGCATGCATTCAAAGTTGCCTAACAGCATACAATTATTATGTGAAACTATTATCTTGGCAATGTTCATTATCTTGGATGTTTGGAGGGTGTTTTCGCTTTAGACATTTTACAGCTGAAATTATCGTTATTACTACTATTATTATTATTATTTGCTTCGTTTGAAGATTGTGAAAATAGCGATTAGTATAATCTTAACAGAAAAAAAAATGAAACTAATTACCCTGTTGATTAGACTATCTCTGTGATCAGATTTTGCGAGTCCTGGTTGTGTAGAAAATTAATGATTATTTTTCTTTTCTTGCTCCAAGCATTTCTACAATCAAGGAAAATGTTCTTACGAATATTTTATAGCGTTAGATCTTCCATTTTACATTAGTGTTTTTAAAATAAATTTTATAATTAAATTACGCTCATTTTTCTCTTAATAATTTAATTTACCATGTTCCCAACCTGGCAATGATTTTCCATATCTTACATCCCTAGGGACGGATTGGTGTTTAGCGGATATGGAACTATCAAAAACGAACAACGGATTTCGATTCTGACCTATTGCATTAAGATTTAGCTCATACGTTTTTCACATCTATGTCAACTGTTGAACAAAAAATAAACGCATCTCTTTTAGGGAACTCGAATAAGCCTTTAAAATATATATATATATATATATATATATATATATATATATATATATATATATACACACACACACACACACACACACATATATATATATATATATATATATATATGTATATATATATGGGTATTTCCAGTGACTAAATGAAAAAAATCTTAAGTTACTGTTATACCGGAACATACCTATTCTATTATTAATAGACTCTCCCACACATATTAAGTAGTAGTAGTAGTAGTAGCAGCAGTCGCCAGTTGGGGCTCAATGAGTTGTGTGAGTCAGTCGATGTCGGACATTAAAGTATCAACCCACCACAACTAGACGGCTGCGTCATTAACTATTATTTCAAGTTCCTAACGTTTTGTACGTCGAACCTAATTTAGGACCGACTTATTGAAATACAAGCCTCCACGGTGAAAACTACTCTACAACAGTTACGCGTTTCATCCTTCGAAAAGACTTCTTCAGATTAAATAATGTTTTTATTTAGGGGTCATACATATGTAGGGTGGGCGACAAAATATAACGAAGGAAGAAGATGCAAGGTCGTTCTAACTTTAAATTTAAATTTTAAACTTCTAACGTCCAATGTGTCTAGATGCACAGCCTAATCAACCTCGTTCACCTATCTATCTATTCTTAACGCTGTTGTTTTTAAATATCCCTCATTGTAATCTTCTTCTTCTATGTGCCGTATCCATTCAGGACGTAGGCAATGACTGTTCTCCACATCTTCCCGTCCTTTCTACATCGAATTAAGGGTTGTATTTCTAGCTGTCTCTTTCAATCCCTGTTCTGCCAACGATTTTACACAAGCTCGTTAGGGTGATTATTTGCTGCTTCCCTTTTTCCA